TTCTTTAGCTTTCCTAGATGTTTTAGTCATCCGAAATCCTGATAACACTATTGGTCACACTGTGTATAGGAAAAAGACCCATACCAACCGATATCTAAATGGTGAATCTCACCATCATCCTTCACAGTTAGCTACCGTGGGTAAATCTTTGTTTCAGAGAGCACGAGGGATCTGTGACAGAAAACATCTGGCCGCGGAGCTTCAGCACGTCAAGCAAGTATTGCAAGACAACAAGCTTCGGGTCCCGCGCCTACGTCACAGTGAACGAGTGAAGCAGGCAACAGTCGAGCGCGCACCTGCTCTACTACCATATGTTGGAGGAGTCACGGACAAGATTGGCTACATCTTGAAGCGAGCGTCCATTAAGACATACTACAAGCCGCTGAAGAAGATTAGTCAATTTTTACCTTCCATCAAATGTAATATTCCTCTACAAGATGCAGGTGTGTACAAGCTAGATTGTGAATGTGGTCTCTCTTACATAGGTCAAACAAAGAGATCTATAAAAACCCGCGTGAAGGAACATATAGCTGATGTGAAGCACCGACGCTCCGGGAAGTCTGCAGTCTGCGAACATGTTCAAGATCGTCCCCACCATTACATTAGATTTGATAAACCACAAATTCTCGCAAAAGAACACCGATTCCTACCAAGGATGATACGCGAGGCTATTGAAATTAAAAAAACATCCAAATTTCAATAGAGAAGATGGTTGGGTGCTACCATCTGCTTGGGATCCTATAATCAACAAAATTAAACCCAAACCCAAGCATACCACTGCAAGACTTCATGATACTATAAGCTCGTTTTGCGTAAATCGGACCAAAAATTAATATTAAAAAAACTGAAGGTAGCCGGACTAACTATGACATTGGGACGTCAAACATCTCAGTCCCCCCGTGACCATGGGCGCTGTAAAGCACCCGAAACGTCGGGATAATAATAAAAATAAATTAAAGTAATTAAACGCGATAAAATCCGTAAATAATAGTTTTATTCAATGTGTAGTGTAGAACTAGTGATGACATATGGATCTGAGATGTAATCCTTCACTAATGGCCGTATGAAGAAGATCAAGGCTGCTTAGTGAGCTTCGAAGAGGCTTACGCTGGGAATTTTTCTATGTAATAGAATTTAAAATGTGGATACACGCAGTGGAACTGAAATAAGCATCATAAACAAATGGCTCAGAAAGCTAAATCGAAATGGGCTACATAACTCATAGAACAGATAAACTATGTGAAAGAAAAGTTATTGAGTGGCATCCTCATACTGGTAAGCAAAGTGTAGCACCCAATAGTAGGAATTCAATAGGTGCAATCATTTAAGAGAGAATAATTAAAACATTTTATATTTATTACCAATGGTAAGTAGTTCCCAGTATTATGTTGTGTAAAGGTGAGGCAAAAAAGGGGGAGAGAGTGGAGGCCAACCCACTATGATGGGAACAAGTATCAGCAGGTTTGGGGTGACCCATTGGCCACTCAAGCCACACCTTTTTTTTTACGTGGTAGACCCATGCTGCAGCTATATTATGGTTGTAGCAAGAAATGGTCGGCTCCACTGGGGTAGGACCACACTCTCAGAATACCAGCGTAAAATATCAGCTTAATGCTGCTGTGACTCGTATAGTGAGTGTAGAGAACCGGAGACCCTTTTCACTGGAAACAAAGCATTCCATCTCAATCCCCAGGCGTGACATGAGGAGAAATGTAGATGTCTATGGACCACAGCATCCACACATCAGGTGGACTGTTAGCATTTTTGTCGCCCTTCAGAGGCGTAGCTACCGCCGTATCAGCCGTATCAATGGTACGGGGCCCCAGTGCTAAGGGGGCCCCTAAAGTGTGTAATCAAAAATTTGTAAAATATTATCCACAATGTCACTTAATATCGTGCTTCCTGGGAAAAAACGTTAAAAAACTGTCATACATGCCTATAGAGTTTTCACTTCAGAAATGACAAAAGTCAAAAAAGCAATCCTTTTTCCCCTTCTAAGCGTGCGCCTAAAAGTTAGCAACATCCTACATCGGTTTTTTCGGGAATCCTGCAATAACCGATGTACATTGACAAGCCACAGAGAGCAATATTTTTGCCAATTCTGTTGGTTATTAGCAGTTCGTCAAAGCAAATCGTACTCCTCTGAATGGGTTGACGGTGTTTCCGTTAGAAGCAATTTTACGCAATGTATATTTGACCATCAAAACTCAAAACAGCTTATTAATGCATCCCCATCTTATAATGATTGCTTACAAGGAAGTAACATCAATACTTTACTGCAAAAATAAATCAATTGTAAAATTACAATCTGGAGAGATTTATTGCATCATATAATTAATGTTATAATTACTTTAGCATCTTGTAATGTACCTTTAAGAGGCCATGATTCTGATTCTGAAAATTTCATGTCAATTTTAGGTTTACTATACAATTATGATCCTATTTTGAAAGAACTTTTTTAAAACAGAAAAGCGAAATAAATTTTTAAGCTTTACGATTCAAAATAAAATTAATAATTTGCTTGGTACGGCATTTAGGAATAATATTATTTTAGAAATTAAAAAAGCTCCATTTCCGGCAATTATTTTGGATACAATACAAGACTTGTCAAAAATTGACCAACTTTCTGTTGTTTTTCGATATATCTCGATAACAGAAAATGATGATAATGTACCTGAAGAATGAAAAATCTTTTTGGGTTTATAGCAGTATCCGATATCAGTGCAGGAATTAAAACTGAAGTTTTAAATACGATTAAAGAATATGGAATTGATTTCCTAAATAGAGGACAGAGTTACGTTGGAGCAATTATTATGTCGGGTGTATATGGAGGATTACAAGCCCTTATAAAAGAGCATGCCCCGAATACCGATTATGTTCATTGTGCTGAACACGTATTGCTGCGAAACATGTTACTGAAGTGTTGACTTTTTTCAATAATTTAAAAAAAATATATACTTTTTTTAGCAATTGTATAAATCGCTGCCCAATGTTGAGTTGCGATTCATCTGAAAAATACAAAATCACCCTTAAAAATGTATGTGCTACTAGATGGTCTTCAAAGAACCATGCTTTATTAGTATTTATTAATTTATAAAAATTATTTATAAATTATGAAAACTTTATATCAACAAAATTTAATTTTTACTAAAAAAAAAGATGAACGTGAAGTATATTAAAAATATAAAAACTGAAATCGTCTTCAGTTATAGATGATTTGCCGAATAAAAAGCAAGAAAAGTGTATATATAATTTGAATTGTTTGGCTAGCCCAATTTCTAGGAGGAAGCGATAATGTATAATCAATAAATATTTATTTTAATTTAATGCAAGCATTTTAGTTTCATTTGTGAGAAATGTTCTCCCATCTTTTGGGACCCCCCAACTAATTTTGATACAGGGCCCCTGCAAGGCACGCTACGCCACTTTTGCCCTTATTCTATAAAACAAACCTTAACCTACTGTACTTTCATATTGTTGACAAAGTTAATAGAAGTTATATTTATTTCGAAGATATTAATAGCCGCCGTAGAGTCTACATCACCTGGATGCCTTGTGTAGAGGCGAAACATGTGTCGTAGTATCGTTGATGGTGTGTATTTCCTAGAGTAGTGGTGTTGGGACTATTGGTGTTAGGAGTAGTGGTGCTGGGATTAGTGGTGACGGGATTAGTGCATGCAATTGAGGGAGGATGGGAAAGTAATTATTAATATCTTTATTTTAATGGATTTCCGCAAAGTAACGCCTGATTCTATCCTTTTATTTTTCTACTTTACTAATGTTTGATGGATGTATAAAAAATTATTATTTCAGAATTATATACCATCAGAAACTTTGTAACAGTCTTAACAAAATATTGGATATCTACTCTATATATAAAATCAATTCCTGTCTGTCAGTCTTGCTAAAACTCAAAAATGGCTCAATTGATTTTGATGTAATTTCTTGTGAGGTGGATTGCTAGCTTATGATAATTACAATATTATCAATATTGCCATACAACATATTCAATGAATCTATTTTTGATATAGATTTTATGATAGAATGATACAATCACATTATTTTATAGATCATTGATATTTAGCTAGCCTTCAAGTCCTAATCAATATTTGTTGTATCAATTAGACAGAATGCAGTGGTTCAAATATTTCAGCAGAATATGAGTTTGAACTCTCGAATTGATTGTAAGTTTTGTACAGTTGACCCGTAAAAAATAGAATTTTTCTTCTAAGAGCACATTACTTCATATAACTCTATTGATTTACCCAGTGCATGCCATGCAAGCTCTCAGAAAGAAACTTCTTTCTTTTTAATTTAATCAATAAGCATCAAATGGTCAAGTTAATCTATTTATTTGAAATATAAAAGATTTATAACATTGACATGGTCACTATAAAATGTTGTTAGGTTAGCTAATTACCTAATAACTTAAAACAGAAGGACCCTTACGTAGGGACTTAATAAATTAACTGACTTGGATCTCACAACTTTTTATGGTACAAGAACTGAGTTGCGAGACTTGTTTTTTTTACAAGTTATGTTTTTTGGTGGCATGTAACTTAATCTGTAATTAGTAAAACACTGAAACAAGATAACAGAATCTAGTTGAAGGCTTTAAATTATCATAAATAATAGCTTCATATAGGAATCTTAGGCACTAACACAATTGTACCTGCATGGCAGAAAATATGTAAAAAAAAAAAAAATATATATATATATATATATATATATATATATATATATATATATATATATATATATATATATATATATACTTTGGCGTTTTGTTTACATATAACTGTAAACTTCATACCCTTAAAATTTATCAAAACAAATAGTTTTTTTTTCGTGTAAAATGGTGACAAATTATGTTCAAGTTAGTAAAAAATGCCTGGATAATTCAAGATTCTTAGCGGATAAATTGATATATACATTAAGGCAAATAATTAATTTTTTTTTATAAAAATTTAACTCACGAAAAATATAATATTATTACCAACCTGTTTGAACACCGCTCATTCTGGATAGAAAATTTTAATTGTATCAGTCTTAAAACTTTTCAAAAGTTGAAAAATATTACAAAGTGTATAAATCTCAATTGATCTCAATCTCAATTTCAATTACCACAATTACACAGAATCACAGATTAACAAATAGTACTGCACCACAAATTATAAAGTTGTATGTACAAGATACTGCACGAGCCGGCGCGAGCACTAGGGATGGCGATCTAAGATCCATTAAACGAAGAATCGATTTCTTGTGGCAAAAGATTTCTCAAAGCAAAAGATAGACTTTTTTATATCGATATATAGTACTGAAACGATATTTCACCCTAGAAAATCTAGTTCGAATCTTTTTCTGTTTTTTAAGAACTGTAAAATGATTTACAGTTAATGAATGTACACCCACTCGTAAAGAACGACAGTTTTTTTTGTTCAAAAACTCGCAAAACCGCTGTGTGCTCAGTTACTTTCGTCTCTTTTAAATAATAATAGTTTTTACAGAGTTTAGCTTATATAATAAAGGTTAATTTTTAAATACCCGACGTTTCGAGCAATTTACAGCTCCCATTTTTATTTATTATGTTCGAGCAACTATGCAGGTCTAGGGAAAGAGACCAGTATCACTACGACTTAGAAGATCTATTGTTATCGCTGCTATGTAATGATATTATAAGTAAAAAGGTATAGTAGATAGGTTATCTACACAATATTCGATCTTCAAAAACGGCACACTAACGCACACATAAATAACTAAATATTGCAATAGCACACTACATTACGATTAGACGTCAAAGTAGGATGGCATGATTAAACTTTCGCAAGCGTAAAAGAGACAAATGTAATTTGCGACAGTGCGCGGTCTTTTTGTAGTAGGAACGATGTAGATAAATTAATCAGGTATGACATTATACCGTACAGCGTGATTTATGCTTAAAACGCGTTCACTCATAAGTGCACGTAGTAAAAGTAATAAAGTTGTAAAAATGCATTAAAAGTAGGAAAATAAAAAAATTATTGATTTTATTAAATATTTACTATCAAATAAAGTGCTATAATAATTATTTATATACGAACGTATATATCACTTCGTTACGCTACAAAACAAATAAATCGAACTTATTAATTAATAATGAGATAGTTAATTTAACTTTCAATAAAACAATAATTATATGTACACAATTTGAATTACGATACTCAGAAGAGACCTGTCTGTTTTTTATATTCTTTGATCAGAAACAATATCACTTCTCTTTAAAACTCACTCATTGGTGTATTTCTATCCCTCTCTATTTTTCTGACAATATATTTAAAATACGTAATTTTTGAATTAGTAAACAATACGAAAATAAATTAAGAAAATAGTAAACGAATAAAATATGATTCCATTTGACTTTTGAAAACCTTTCTTGTGTAGTTTGTGCAGAATCTCATCACATATGACGGCATTTTCGGTGCAAAAACAAAACACGAATTAATATCAACGCCGTTGTCAATGACGCGACGACTGAGCTCAGGTTTGCTAATAAGCCTAGTTTTTACGTGCCACTTGCGGTGAACGTATAACCTATCTACCTCTATTTCTTATAATATCATTGCTGCTATGGATATAGTTCATGGCTAAGCCATATGAATCTTCAATCAATGAATTGAAGGAGTTGCTTAGCCGTGTGCAATTTCACTTCTTCTGGGCGGAGTAGATAGTTTCCCAGATGAGTGTTACGTTTGCGCATTAAGGATCCGCAATCAGTTAGGATATGTTTCTTCGTTATGAAACAGAATCGACACATCCTTGAGTTGCTTAGTCCCAGGATGGATATGTGCTTTTTAAGAAAACAGTGTCCAATTAGGGCTCCTCGCAGATGCGCAATTTATTTTTACTTAATCCCAGGGCTTCCAAAGCGAATTACCGATCAAAAGCCCGGATTTAGGTTTTAGAATGTTTTAAGCCTGCTGTGTCAGACCGGATCTTAAGTGATTTATTATGACAAAGAGTTTCAATTGTCAATCTGTCTAAGCTTCTTGAGATTCCCCAAAATGGTACACATGCTCACGGGGGCGACTGAGATGTTCAACGTCCAAATGTCAAAGTTAACCGCGGTTATCATAGATTAAAATTTAACCTTTGTTCCGATCTACATAGTATGAACTTATGGTATCTTGAAGTCATGCAGTTGTATGCTTGGATTGGGATTTAATTTTATTTATTATAGGATCCCAAGCAGATGATAACACCCAGCCTTCTTCTCTATTGAAATTAGGATGTATTTTGATTTCAATAGCCTCGCGAATTATTATTGTAAGGAATCGGTGTTCTTTAGCTAGGATTTGTGGTCTATCAAACTTGAAGTAGTAACGGGGGAGATCCTGTACATGTTCACAGACTGCAGACTTCCCGGAGCGTCGATTTTTCACATCAGCTGTATGTTCTTTAACGCGGGTTTTAATTGATCTTTTAGTTTGTCCTTTGTAGGAGATACCACATTCACAATCAAGCTTGTACACTCCTGCATCTTGCAGGGGGACGTTACACTTGACTGATGGTAAAAAACTGACCAATCTTCTTCAGCGGCTTGAAGTATATTTTAATGGAAGCACGCTTCAAGATGTAGCCAATCTTGTCAGTGACTCCTCTTACATATGGCAGTACAGTAGGTACACGCTCGTCTGTGGTTGGCTTCACACGTTCACAGTGACGTAGGCGTGGGACCCGAAGCTTGTCGTCATGCAAAACTTGCTTGACGTGGTGGAGCTCGGCAGCCAGGTGTTTACTGTCACAGATCCCTCGTGTTCTCTGAAACAAAGATTTACCCACGGTAGCTAACTGTGAAGGATGGTGGTGAGAATCACCGTTTAAATATCTATCTGTATGGGTCTTTTTTCTATACACAGTATGGCTCAAGGTGTTATCAGGATTCCGAATTACTAACACATGGAAATAAAAAAAATGGTGATGGTGTGGAAGTGGTGAGAATCACCGTTTAAATACATGGTCGGCATCAAAATAAGAGCAAAAAAATGTATATATGGAAGTTACTACGTTAGTTACGTTAAATCCAAATGTGTAGTTAGAATTCACCTAGCACGTCTAGTTTCGACGCAATAGCATTTTTTGTTTGCACTAGAATTGTTTGCATATAGTTGCAGGCAGCGGTATTTGTGAACGTTGGTATGTACATGTATTTAGTTGTGTTCTGAGTCTGTCTCTATGTTAGAAAGAAACAACAAGCTATTGTTTACTGCTATAACTAACTGACAAGCGCGAAGCGCGAACGCAGTGATTGTTTTGAACAAGTGAGCGACGTACGTGAGCTGATAGAAGAACTGCTTTCGTCGTATCTTCAACTTGGATGCAATATGTCTTTAAAAATTCACTTCTTGCATTCGCATTTAGATTTTTTCCCAGTAAATCTTGGTGCCGAGTCTGATGAGCATGGTGAAAGATTCCACCAAGACATTGCACATATGGAAAAAAGTTACAGCGGCAAGGGGACCCCAGCAATGCTAGCTGATTTTTGCTGGGAAATAAATCGAGAAACAGCAGTTAAAATGTATAAAAGAAAGCGATCTACCAAATAGTTATCGTTTTTATGTTTTTTTATATTTTTTAATTCATATTTCATTTTAATTTGTGTTGTAATAGTCATCAATCAGTGTAAATTTTTTCGTTCTAAAATATATACATATTTAATATATATCAATACCGATATTTTATTTAAATGTAAATATCTGAAAAGCTAGAGGTGATAGTTGAAATCTTTAAACAGATTTGGACTCAACAAATCAAAGCCAATAGAAATCACATAGTAAACTTTTTGCTCCCGGATTTTTATTTTTTTTTTGCCGACCAGTGATATCTATCTGTATGGATCTTTTTTCTATACGCGGTATGGCTCAAGGTGTTATCAGGATTCCGAATTACTAACACATCTAGAAAAGCTAAAAAATTGTTTGCCTCTAACTCCATTGTGAACTGAATTTTAGAATTCATAGAGTTAAGACGGTCTAAAATGCAGTTACTTTATCTAAAGGTAGAATTGTGAAAGTGTCGTCTGCGTACCGCTTGTAGAATCTTGGATCTAAGGGAGAAGTAAGCTGGGCTTTCTCCTCAAAGTCTTCCATGAATATGTCGGTGACAATGGGAGATACACGTGAGCTCATCGCCACACCATCTACTTGCTTGTAGAATTCCTCCTTCCACAATAGGTAGCCAGATATAAGGCAGTGTCTGAGTAATACTGCATATTCTAAAGACATGTCGTTTTCTTCCAGCCTTCTAGTTACAATTAAGATGCAGTCTTCAACATGTAAGCATGTAAACAATGACTGCACATCAAAACTGACCATAGTTCATTGTCTGCCAAATGTAGGTTTTTAATCTCGCCAACAAAATGGTAGGAATCCTTTATGTGTGCTCTTGTATGTCTCCTGAGCGGTGAGAGTATTTTCGCTAAGTGTTGAGCCAATCTGTAAGTTGGTGAATCGATTTGTCTCACATGGGACGTAATGGAGCATTGGGCTTATGTATTTTGGTAACCCATACAACTTTGGTGATTTGGCGTACGTAGGTATTATCCATTTTACGTCTAGGTTTAATTTTCCGGAGTGTTTCTTTATGAGGTCACTAGTTGTTTTTAGTGTGCTATTTGTTGGGTCGTTTTTAACCTTTTTATAAGTGCTTACATCCGACAAAAGTTCTTGTATTTTAGAATTATAATATGACGTATCCATAACTAACGTGGCATTTCCCTCATCTGTGCGGAGGATCGTGAGTTCTGGTTTATTGCGTAGGTTCTTTAACGCAATAAATTCGTCTTTGGGAAGATGAATTTATAGCGTTGAATAATTGTTACGTGGGAGAGCTATGCTGCAGTTATATTAGTAGTATAGTTGTAGCACGAATGGGTCGGCTCGACCGGGGGAGGACCACGCTCTCACAGAATACCAGCGTGAAATAGTAGCTTAATGCTGCTGTATTTCGTATGGTGAGTGTAGAGAACCGGAGACCCTTTTTAC